TGAGAGAGCTGGAGAAACATAGAAGTTACAGGCCAGCTGGCCTTCTGGAGTGTTCTTTCCAGCCCTCAAGCTCTGCCCGGTAGGTGTGTGCACCCCGTGGGGCACACAGCTGCTCAGCTCCTGTGGGATGGCCATGCTCCCGGGATGGTTGTGGATGCTGAGCACGGGTGTGAGCTCTCATTAGCAGCTCACACATCCACAGCACCTCTGCGTGCTAATTGGGGCAGGGATTGTGTCTGGATGGTGCTGGAATTTGAGATTCACACTTGGTGTGTGTACAGGACTGTGAGTAACCCCATGGGAGGACTGGAACGTGCAAAGAGCCCCAGGTTCTGTGCCATGGGGTGTGTGCTGAGGGGCACAAGCCACACTCCAGGTGTTGCATCCAGCTGTTTGGTGGTGCTGCAAGGCAGATGCCCAGCCCATCTGTTCCCAGAGGAGCCAGGGCTTTGGCAGGAAGGGTGGGCCTTTCCCTGGTGACACACAGCTCTGCTCCCCCTTGCAGGGGACATGGTGTTCCAGCACCGGGAGCCGCTGCTCCGGGCCTTCCTGCGGGGTGCCCGGGATCCCGACGGTGCCCTGAGGGCCAGCAGCCTCTCCAACCTGGGCGAGCTCTGCCAGCACCTCGGCTTCCAGCTGGGCTCCATCATCCAGGAGGTACGGGCTCCATCCTTCCCTGACCCTGCCTGGGGAGCGTGGGGCCTCTCCTTAACGAGCGCGTTTGTTAGCACATGGAAATGGGACATTTCCATATGGAAACGGGACATTTCCATAAAGGACACGAGTGATAATTGCTGATACTGTGGAGTATGAAAGTCATGAGGCCTGAAGCAAACACTAGGGAGGTTCTAGCCCTGAATTTTAGGTACCTGCTCCACCCATGGCAGCCATTGACAGAGGAGACCTGGGGCCACAAGTGGTGCCTGCCAGAGACACCTCCCGCTTAATGACAGCTTGTTACTCTCCCGTTATCTTAATTATCATTATCGGTATCATCAGTATCACGGAGCTGGCCCTCACCTGCCTGGCTGCAGGCTGGGGATGAGATACAGCTTCAGGAGCTGCCGGGAGATCCCAGTTGGGGCGAGCCCGAGTCCCAGGGGCCCAGCAGCCCTGGAGGTGATGGGTCTGAGCCCCGAGGGAGCCAGAGCTTCACACCCCCCACACCCCTCGGGCTGCTCCCCTCGGTGCCAGGGTTCCCGCTGGCACCGGTGGATCCCGGCAGTTGATGTGATGCCAGGGAGCCACACGCTGCTATTTCGGGAAGGTGCGAGCTCTGCTAATTCTCCCGGCTGTCACTGCCGGGATTTAATTGGATTCCTTTGGCTCTGCCTGATTTTTATACAGACTCTCACACAGCTTCCTGAGGCTTCCATGTGCCGCCTGGCCCTGGTGGGAGCTGCTCAGAGCCTGCACCCAGCAGGGCGTGAGGGTCCCATCCTCGTTGCTGGGACATTGCCAGCGCATCCGTGGCTGCTCCGATGGGATCCCCTGCATCTCTGGGTCCCTGGTGATGCCCCCTGGCCTGTCCCCACAGGTCACCTGCTGTGTGACAGCCATAGCCCGGACAGACCCCGAGGCTGAGGTGCGGAGAGCCGCTGTGCACGTGGTGGTGCTGCTGCTGCGGGGGCTGAGTGAGAAGGTCACTGAGGTGGGTCAGCCCCTGCTTGTCCCCGGGGCAGGGACAGTCCCCAGGGGGCTCCTGGGCATACCTTGGGGAGGGCCCGTGCTCTGTAGGGGCTGCAGGGCTCATTCCCAAGCGGCTTCCAGGGAAAGCCCCCAGGGACTGAGACGCCCATTTTGGGCATCCCCCACTAAAGGGTTCCCTCAACAGATCCTGGGGAAGGGGGGCTTTGTGGGGGCATCCCTCTGAGCTGCTGGGCTGTGCCATGGTCAGTGCCATGCCATGCTGGGGGCAGTGCCAGCTCTTGGGAGCTGTGGGAGTTGTTCATCGCTGATTTGACTTGGAAATGCCCGGTTTTCCCACCACTGTGGCCTCCCTCCGCAGTTCCCAGTAACAAGCGTGTTGGGACTCAGCTCCCATGGGGGAAACAGCCAGTTCCCTACGGGAATCCCCACAGCTGGGATCCCGGCATGCCCCGATGCCGCTGGGCTGAAGGATCACCACAACGTGCCGCTGGCATGTGGGGAAACTGAGTCACGGAGGTCGAGGCTGCGGTGGCGGGGCTTGGTGCCGGGGGAAGGGGCAGCCCCGCCCTGCCGGGGCTCGCCGAGGGGCGCTGCTGACCGGCCCTGCCGTGCCCAGGTGCTGCGGGACGTGCTGCGGGACCTGTACCGCCTGCTGAAGCTCGTGGCCGCGACCGAGCGCGACGCCGCCACCGTGCTGCACGCCCAGCTGGCGCTGGAGGAGCTGGACGCGGCCGTGAGGAGGGTCCTGTTCCCCCCGCAGACGCTGGAGAAGAAGATCGTGGTGCTGCCATAGCGGGGCTGAGCCGCGGAAATGACCTGCCCCTGCCCCGGGGTCAGGGCCAGCGGCTCCCCCAGGGAAGGGCTGGCCGTGCCCTCCAGGATGTGTCGGGTGGGAGGGGAACCTCGCTGGGACGAGGTGTGGGATTAAACGGAGCCGTGCTCAGCCCTGTGTCCGTGATGTCTGTGGGGCCACGCAAAGCTCACGGGTGCCATCATGGTCCTGTCCCAGACCCTGTGTCCCGTGGAAGGGTGGGCATCACGCCCAGGGTGAGTCCTGAGCTGGGCAAGCAGCTGGCAGGGCCAGTGCTTCAGGCTCCTTTTGGCTAGGCAGCACCAAATGTGTGGCTGTCCCCGCGGGCAGTCAGGAGGGAGGGGGGCTCCTGTCTGCACCCCCAGAGTGGAATCTGTGGCCCCTCCTTGGCACTGTACTCACACCATAAAAATGCTGAGGAGTCCGGGGGCTGCCTCAGCACAGGGTCTGAGGATGGCCCCTCTGCTGCGGCTCCAAGAGCCCCTCCATGCTGAGGAGGGGCTAAGAGACCCTGCGGGGCACCTGGCTGGGACTGCCACTATGTGCTCAGGGATACCCCAACATCAGAACCACCTCCTCCCTGCGGGCAGGGCAGTCCCCGTGAGTGCTGCAGCACCATGGGCCCCATTCCTGCACTGGGAGCTGCTGCACACCCACAGCGTGGGGGGAGCAGAGTCCTCAGGGACCCCGCTTGGCGTCCCCCCTGCTCCCCTGGCTCCGGGCAGCCCAGCCCCACCGTGCACAGCCCCAGGAGCCCATTTCCCAGCTGCCCTGTGTCCTGCCAAACGTGGGGTGTCCGGCCCCCCACTTCCCTGCGAGGCTGAGCGTCCTGGCCATGTCCCACCCGGGCTGCTCCTGCTGCAGGGATCCCCTTGCCCAGCTCCTGGTGCTTGGAGACTCCGAGCCCAGCATCACCTCGCACCCAGCTCCCAGCACAGCAGGAACGGCTGGGGTGAGAAACCCAGAAGTGCTGAATTTGAGCCCCGAGTCGAGGCTGTGCCTCCTACAGACTCAGAACGGCCCCCCCAGCTGGGTGTCCCCTGCCATCAGGCCGGCGCAGGGACAAGGACAGGGACAGGAGCTTTTTGCTGCTGTCCCCGGGATGACCCTGGTCCTGTCCTGGCACCCACCAGCCACAGGGACAGGGTGACACGGGTGGCTTATGCCACGCGGGGACACGGTGGCGCAGGAAGGTGACACGTGGGTGTCATGAGAGAGGTCCCAAGAGCGGGGCTGGCGGGGATGGAGTGGCCGGTCCCTGTCCCTCCCCGGTCACTGGTTTGGGGGTGACACCTCCACAGTGCCTCCCTCCACCCCGAGCGCATCCCGGGGGTCCCTGGGGCTGGCTCCGTGCCCTGCCCGCACCTGATGCCGGTTCCGGTGCAGCACCGGAGCCGCTGCCGGTGCTGCCGGTATAGCAGCTGTGCCGTGATGTCTGTGATGGTGCCGGTGCCGGTGCAGCGCGGGTGCTGCTGATGCCGGTGCCGGTCATCACTCCCGCAGTGCGGGGCTGGGGCCGGTGCCAGGTCCTGCCGGTGCGGGGCGGGTCCCGGGGGTTGCGGGCGGAGCTGGAGCCGGTGCCGGTGCTGGTGCCGGGGGCGGTGCCGGCGGTGCCGGTGCCGGTGCCGGTGCCGGGCGGGGCCCCCGCGGGCTGCGGGCGGTGCCGGCCCCGCCGCGGTATAAAGGGGCCGCACGGGCCGGGCCGGGCGCACAGCGGCGGCGGCGGGTGGGGAGCGGCGGCACCACCACCACCGGCACCTCCACGGTGAGTCCCGGTCCCTCCTTCTCCGTCCCGGCCCGCTGGTGGCGGCTCGCGGTGCCCCCGCGGCGCCGTGAGACCGGCAGCGCAGGAGGCTGCGGGGCCGGGGGTAACGGGCAGCCGGGAGCGCCGGGGGCTGCGGGACCGGGAGGAGCCGGGAGCGCCGGGGGCTGCGGGACCGGGGGAAAGCCGGAGGGGGCTGCCCGGGAGGTGCCGCCGGGGGTTCCCGGGGCTCGCTCCGCACCCCCGCACGTGCTCGTGCACCGCCGACCCGCCCGCACCCCCTGCCCGCGTCCCGGTGCACCTCCGCAGTCCCGTCCTGCCCGCGCCGCCCGTCCGGTCCCGCAGCGGGCTGGGGGTGTGGCTGCTGCCGTCCCCGCGCCCGGGGGTCCCTCCGCACCCGCTCTGCTGGAGGAGGACTCCGGGCGGCCGCGATTTCCCCGGGGACACCCCGGTCCCGACATCCCCGTGCCCTTCCCTGTCCTCCAGCCATCGCCTGCGAGCAGCCGTGCTCCTGCTTGGGTGGATGGGGGGTGCTGGCACGGTACTCAGTGGGGCGCTTGGGACCCCTGCACCTCGCCTGGCGCCACAGTGGGGTGTGCGGGACCCCCGCACCTCCTCTGGCCCCGTGGAGGCGTTGGGAAGGTGTCACTCCCAAACCAGGAACCGGTGAGGGACAGGGCGGCCGTGGGGCAGCAGAGGAGCGGGGCCACCCCGTTTTTGCATTCTGGGCAGCCTGATGGGGAGGGTGTCCCCCTGCCCTGATGGTGCCCCCTGTCCCCCCAGATGCCAGGGAGCCTCTCCACGGCCCTGCGTGTCGTGGGGACCAGCCTCTTCGCCGTGGCGGTGCTGGGGGGAATCCTGGCCGCCTACGTCACAGGGTACCAGTTCATCCACACGGAGAAGCACTACCTCTCCTTCGGGCTCTACGGGGCCATCCTGGGGCTGCACCTCTTCATCCAGAGCCTCTTCGCCTTCCTGGAGCACCGGCGCATGCGGCGCGAGGGGCAGCCGGTGCGGCCGGGCCGCTCGGTGGCCCTCTGCATCGCCGCCTTCCAGGAGGATCCCGACTACCTGACGAAGTGCCTGCGCTCCGTCAAGCGCATCGCCTTCCCTGACCTCAAAGTGGTGATGGTGGTGGACGGGAATGGCCCCGACGACACCTACATGCTGGACATCTTCCACGACGTGATGGGCTCCGAGCACTCCGGCAGCTACATCTGGAGGAGCAACTTCCACGCGTGGGGCGAGGGGGAGACGGAGGCCGGGCTGCGGGAAGGGCTGGCCCGCGTCCAGGCACTGGTCCGCAGCAACACCTACTCCTGCATCCTCCAGAAGTGGGGCGGGAAGCGGGAGGTGATGTACACGGCCTTCCGGGCGCTCGGAGACTCCGTGGACTATATCCAGGTGCACGCATGGGCTGGGGGACGCGGGCAGTGAGCGTCCTGGGCAGGGGGGATGTGGGTGGAACGGGAGCAGCCCCGGGAATCCCCAGTAGCACCTGGGTGCTTGGCACCGGGTCTGGCCCCATGCACCAGCCGAGAGCCACCAGGGCTGGGGGTCGCTGGCACTGGGGTGGCTGAGGTGTTGACTGCTGCCCACACTGCTGCCCATGGGTGTCCCATCACCTCCTCGGCACGTGGCCCGCTACGGTGTCATCCCGTGGGGCAGCGTGGCACGCGGTGCAAGGTCCCCACATGTGGTGGCTGAGACACGTCCTCCCTCAGTGCCAGCAGCCAGAGATGGGTGTCCTGGGCAGCGGTGCCCCAGTCCCACCGGGTGCTCTGCTCCCCTCCATTGCCTGCCGGTCTCCGGGGCTCTGCCTGGTCTCGCCGTCCGTGGCTCAGGCTTGCCTGGCTGAGGGCTGGGCTGTCTGCCGGGCGCGCGTGGGCGGCGGGAGCGGGGCTCGACGTTCCCTCTGCCCCCAGGTGTGTGACTCAGACACGGTGCTGGACCCCGCCTGCACCGCCGAGATGCTCCGCATCCTGGAGGCCGACCCCCACGTCGGCGGCGTCGGCGGCGATGTCCAGGTACCCTGGCACGAGGGAGGGCACCCTGGGGCGGCGAGGCGAGGGCAGGGCTGGGGGCCCCGGGGGGCCGCAGCACTGCCGGGGCTCACGTCCATCCTCTCCCCAGATCCTGAACAAGTACGACTCGTGGCTCTCCTTCCTGAGCAGCGTGCGGTACTGGATGGCCTTCAACGTGGAGCGCGCGTGCCAGTCGTACTTCGGCTGCGTGCAGTGCATCAGCGGCCCCCTGGGCATGTACCGCAACGCGCTGCTGCAGCAGTTCCTCGAGGACTGGTACCACCAGACCTTCCTGGGCAGCAAGTGCAGCTTCGGGGACGACCGGCACCTCACCAACCGCGTGCTCAGCCTGGGCTACCGGACCAAGTACACGGCTCGCTCCAAGTGCCTGACGGAGACGCCCACGCGGTACCTGCGCTGGCTCAACCAGCAGACCCGCTGGAGCAAGTCCTACTTCCGCGAGTGGCTCTACAACGCGCTCTGGTTCCACAAGCATCACCTCTGGATGACCTACGAGTCGGTGGTCACCGGCTTCTTCCCCTTCTTCCTCATCGCCACCGTCATCCAGCTCTTCTACCGCGGCCGTGTCTGGAACATCCTGCTGTTCCTGCTGACGGTGCAGCTGGTGGGTGTCATCAAGGCCACCTACGCCTGCTTCCTGCGTGGCAATGCCGAGATGATCTTCATGTCCCTCTATGCGCTCCTCTACATGTCCAGCCTGCTGCCCGCCAAAATCTTCGCCATTGCCACCATCAACAAGTCGGGCTGGGGCACCTCGGGGCGCCGCACCATCGTGGTGAACTTCGTGGGGCTGCTGCCAGTGTCGGTGTGGGTGGCGGTGCTGCTGGGCGGGCTGGCCTACACCGCCTACAGCCAGGACCTCTTCAGCGAGACCGAGGTGGCCTTCCTCGTCTCGGGTGCCATCCTCTATGCCTGCTACTGGGTGGCTCTGCTCACCCTCTACCTGGCCATCGTTGCCCGCCGCTGCGGCAAGAGGCAGGAGCAGTGTGGGCTGGTTTTCACTGAGGTCTGACCACGGGGTGGTCCCGTGCCAGGGTCATCCCACGTGCCATGGCGATCCGATGTGTCAGGGTAATCACCTCTGTCCCCTCCTCCCCATCCTGGAACCACCAGGTGCTGGGGTGATCCCACATGCTGGAGTGAACACCCCCAGTCCCCTTTTTCCCAATCCCGGAGCTGCTGGGCAGCGCTGAGCGCTCCCAACCCTTGGCATTTCTCATCAGATCTTGAGATCTTGCTTTTTTTCTTTATTAAGGTGTAAACTTTTCCTATATTTTCATTTTTCCATCCCAAGCTGGCCACAGAGAAGCTGAGCCAGGGCTGCCCACCACCCAGCCAGGTGCTGCCAGCTACATCCCAGCTGTGCCCTATGGAGCATCCTGGTGTGGAGCGCTGCTGGCCGCGCTCCCCACGCCCCACTCCAGAATTTTCCACCCTTCGGTGCTTTTTACAGGGATTTCAGTCCCACCTCCGTGGTGCTACAGCACTTCCCACCCCCAGGACACACAGACTCCGTCAGCACGGTGCTGGCACTGCTGGCTGGTGCTGCCTCTGCCCCACGGCTGCGTGCGGGCACGTACCCACGGGCAGCCCCCCCAGGCCTTTCGGGGGGTCTGGCTGCTCCAGGAGGGCAGTGGGATCCTTCAGCTTTGCCAAAGAGCCAAGGGGGGATCCTGGCATGGAGAGACTGGGAAAACTGGGGGGCTGTGTGCTGGCTGAGCGTTGCTGGACACCCTTTGGGGCCATGTCATGCTCTGGCCAACCCACGGCCCCATCACTCCCACCCCGCTACCTTCCCAGCAGTGGGAAGATTTAGGCAAGGTGCTTCCCAACTTTCCCCTCCCCAGGGAATTCACCTGTGGGTCCTTTTTTTCAGGACTTGGATAAAAATCCCTTTCTACGACGGAGCTTTTAGCTGGTTTTTGTTTAATTTAATACAAGGTTTTTTAGAAGACTTTTGTAGCTCTTTGGTATTATCGCAGATGGTTTGTAAATCTATTTATTTTTGAACCTGCCAGGGGAATTTTTTTCCATATTTTGGGTGGAAAAGGCTGTTTTTTTTATATCCTGACGGAGTTGTGGAAATAAAGACTTGAAGTGAGGACACATGGTGGAGTTCTGGGGAGGGTCCCTGAAGCCCCTGCCTGACTTGAGGGAGGTTGGTCCTGAGTCCCTGTGTGGCACTGGTGTTCCTACAGCTGGAGGGAGGGGGTAGGAGGAGACATCTCCACACTGGCACCTCCATGGATCCCTGGGACGTGCTGGACACTGCGGGCAGCTCCGGGGTGGGACACCCCTGCCCAGGCTCACAGGAGTCCCTACCTACCAGGAGCCATGTCTCCTGGAGTGATCCACAGGGTCTGTGGCCAAGAGCTTGGTTGCTCTCTGAAAAGAATCATTTTTGGGGGACAAGTGACCCAGGAAGGGCTCTGGGTGTGCAGACAGGACCCAGCAGTGCCAGACTCCTCTGCGCAGGACAGGGATGAGGTCCTGGATCTCCCCAAGCCCCTGCTGCTTTCTCCAGCAGCAGATCACAGTTCATAGCCCGCATCCTTCCTTCCCCTCAGACCTTCTTGGGCACGTGGGTGATGATGGGCTTGGGGCGGGTTTTGAAGAGCAGTTTGGTTTTGATGAGGGCAGTGACGGTGTAGTGGCCGTGGGGCCCCACGGGGCTGGGCTGGGAGGCTCCTCCCTGCTTCACCAGCACAGCAAACGGCTTCTCCAGCTGCACCACCTTCCCGTAGAGGATGTGGTGACCCACCACGAGCACGGGGACGCCCTGGGGAGAGAGGAGGGTGAGGCTGGGCTGGAGCATGGGGACGCCCTGGGGAGAGAGGAGGATGAGGCTGGGCTGGAGCATGGGGATGCCCTGGGGAGGAGGATGAGGCTGGGCTGGAGCATGGGGACGCCCTGGGGAGAGAGGAGGGTGAGGCTGGGCTGGAGCATGGGGA